CGATTTGTCTTTTTTACAAGTAATAACTATCGGACTAATAAATCTGTCCTCGTCACAGTTTTCTAATTTTTTGATGTGTCCTTCATATTTAAGCCTGTATAATTCTGTTTTTACTGAGTCTAGTAAGTGTAAAGGTACCCTCCTGCCTTTTAGTTGAATTGGCTTTAATGGTTCATGAAAATGTGTTATTTTTGTTTGACTCTTTATTTTTCCAATCCGAAGGAATAGTTGTTTGAAGGTTTTTCCAATCATTTCTATTTCATTATCTATGTCAAGTGAAGTAACGGAATTGATAAACTTACAAGTTCTCTTGTTGGTGAGTGTTGCGTATTGCTTTTGTGAAACTTCGATTCCGACTTTTGGTAAATTTTCGTTTCCCAAGATGTTTCTTTCATGAACTTGAGTTAGAAAGAAGTGGAATTCCTTGTGGGACAATCCATTTGAGAAAATTGGGACAATTACTTTTCCAGTGATATTTATTGCATTGTTCGTAAATCCACAATAGAGTTCCTTGGTAGCTTTATCCACTGGATACGTTTTCACGTAGGGGTCTCGTAGTCTCAACTCGTGTAACACATTCTGTTTAAGGAAGCTTACAGGGCTTGCTGAATCCACCTGTATGTTCAGAATTACTTGGTTTTCGTTTCCTAAGCCGATATTTAGTAGTTTCTTCATCTCCTTTCCTTGATCATCGTAGATAGTTGTTACGTTTAATACTGAGTAATCGTCGTTATCGCTTTGTCCAGACTCTGACCATGCATTTATTACTCCACAGCATTCTCTATTAGCGTGGTCAATATGTACATCTGGTTGTTCCGAAGGATAATGATGATCCGTATTATTTACAATTTGGCTATCCACAATATTTACATTTTTACGGCGTGATTTACAAAGTCTAGTAAAATGTCCTCGATATTTACAAGTCGTACATGTTGTATCTTTAGCAGGGCAAACCGCTAGATGTTCTTTTGTAAAACTTCCGCCGCATTTCATATATGTGTTGTTTCTTTCGATGTTTAGGGTGGGTTCTCTTTTTACATTAAAATGATTAAAAGATTTGTTGGAAGAATATCCGCTGGATTTAAAAGTACTCGTCATCTTTATGTGGTTTGTAATTCCTTTTTCATCAATCAGGGCTACGTTTAAGGCTTCTAGTGGCGGTAAGGTTTCCGTGAGAAGTTTCCGTTGGATATCTGAATTCTTCATGTTATTAATAAAAATATCTCTAATCCATTCGTCTTCTCCTGTGGGAATGTTACATCGTTTTGCCATTTCAGCCAGTGCCCCCCAGAATTGTTCTAATGATTCTCTGTCCCTCTGTTTTCTGTTTAAGAGTTTGTGTCTTTCGAAGGTTATGTTTGTTTTTCTCACAAAAGCTGTGGACAAATTGTCCCAAAATTCTTTGAAAGAAATTTGTAGAACTTTGACTCTTGTGAACTTCTGGCCGAATATTTTCTTTCCTTCGTTTCCAAGGGCTAGATAAAGTATGGATCTTAGTTTTTTGTCCGCCTCTTCCAGTCTCATACCGTTGAATTTCTTGGTTTCTAACTTTATTGAGGCCATTTCTTCATCATCGAATCTCTTTTGTTCTTGGATATTCCTCTCGATGCGTGATGTTTTTTGAGCGTCGGATTCGTTTTCCGGCGGATTTTCCAATGTTGGGGGAGGTGGGTGATATCGTTCCGTTGGATTCAAGAGATTTTCGATGTCGATATTCTCTTTTGCGATTATCGCTAGCTGGAATAGATCGCTCCACTCTTCCCAAGGAATTGGTGGGTCCACTGTGTGGTTCTGCCAAAATGAAGGTATACCTCTCACGTTTGATTCGTTGCTGTTTGACTGCGCCATGATAAAAATGTTCCTTTGTTACGGTTAATTCCACTTAGTTACAAATAAGATATGTTTAAAAAGTGAATTAATCTCTAAGTTAAAACATTAAAAAGTGAGCGGTCATTCTCTCCGTCGGAGAGAATGAAGATAGCAAGGTCAAATCAAGATTAACCAGTTAAGATACTTTAAAGTAATTAGTGAAATAAAACAAATGGTAAGAATCACAACGGGGATGATGGGAATGGAATTGTTTTGGAGTTTGAAAAAATTTAGTATTACAAATCGAATAAATCGTACACTCGTTCTGCAAAGTCATTTACTAAACGCAGGATTTTTTTTACAAAGTTTTGCATGACGCAAAACAAAACTCATTGCTTTAAAATGAATTATTATAAATTTTGGTTGTGTTAAAACAAGGGATTTTAATCACTTTTTTTAATTTTGTTCTTCGAGGTCAACATGGGAATTAATTATTATATTACCAATTCAAACCGCAAAAAGTTTCTTTTTTGGAATGAAGAATTTAGTAGAGATTTCAATTTATTGGGTAATTAATAACCAGGATTGAGGTGCTCGACAGATAAGACTTTGAAAATTGAGCAAGTGCAGTTTTCCGACTGAAAACGGCGGTCGAGAAACAACTTCATAAAGTTGAAACATACCCACTTTTGGCCGAGAAAGTCGAAACACAGGTCGAGCATAGTCTAAATATAGGTCAAGCGAAAGCTCATTTTTTGATGATTCTAATCAATTTTAAATTGTGAACAGACGAAAAAAAATTTGCCCTGAAAAAAACTCCTTCAAAAAGTTGCAATCAGCAGCAATCAAATCAGGAGACTTTCTTACCGCAAAACTAAAAACTCCATTCAGAGAAAATCGTTTGTTGTTTAAGATCTAACGGTTCCTGTGAAAATACAAAGTTAATTCTACCAAATTTTCCTCAAAAGTCAGTTTTCAGATCAACAGTGTCAGTCCAGGTTTGTAAAAAAAAATATGGGCAAAATGAAAAAAACGATTTGTAAAATTTATTTTTCTATGCAGGATTTTCATTTTTTACTGATTCTTTACTTTCAGCTAAAGCCTTATCACAAAAAAAAACAAATGAAAAGCATAGATTATATTTTTTGGCAATCAACTCGTGTCATTTGATATTCAAGAAAGTCGGAACAAAGCTCGAATACAATTTTGATCGAGAAAGTCATTTCAAAGTTTTCCACAAGCTCACCGCTAGAAACAAATGATTCAAAGAAAATTTTTAAAATTTTTTGTCTGTCGAGAAAGGCCAGACAGTCGAAACATGCCCATTTTTGGTCGAACAAGCTCCAATATATCTGAACAGGGTCGAACATAGTATAACATTTTTTTTGTTGGGTCGAGAAAGTCGAAACATCCCAAAATTTGGTCGAGAAAGTCGAAACATACCGACGTTTTGATCGAGAAAGTCGAAACACAAATCGGGCAGCTGGACCTCGGAAGATGAGACTTTTGGATGCGTTTTATTTTCTTTTCGTCCAAATAAGAATTATCTTCCAAAAAAAAGAGCAGTCAATAAGCTGCCAGTTCAGAGCTTTTCCAATGTTGTTGTTTTACTTTAGATCAGTAGCGGATTTAGCGGGTTGAGGGTGGGGGAGGGGGTGTTGATGACGTTTACTTTGACCCGTTGACTACCCAAAGAGTTCATATTTGGTACTATTTTAAGACATTTCTTCGGCGGCAATACAGTTAATTTGTAAAAGGCGAGTGTCGGAAAAAAAGCAATTTTTTAGTCAAAGCATTCCAAACAGTGTCCAAAACAGCACTTTTTGTTGTTGTTATTGCTGTTGTTGTTGTTGCTGTTGTTGTTGTTGTTGTTGTTGTTGTTGTTTTTGTTGCGGATTTGCTGTTGTTGTACAGCAATGACTAAGAGTTGATCGGGCCAATTCGTTATTCGTTAAAATAACGTCCAGTTATTACGACAGTTTGGCCTTTTGTTTTTAAATTTAAATGCGGCGAAGAAAAATTTTCAAAAAAAGAGTTGGTCTGGAGAAAACCCTATACGAGCGCCTGCTTTTGATAATAAACTCAAACTCACCGTATTCAATTCAGCGGGCGCTTTAACGGGTCTTTATTTCAAACTTTTAGATTTAGATACTATTGTGATTAAGTTGTTCGCCATGCAAATTTACATCACCATGACAGCGATAAGCAGTTATTGTTCCGACTTTCGATACGAAAGTAACGGAATATTTGTGCTCGGGGTGGGTTTTTTTTTCTTCAGACAAATTTCGACTTTTTAACTAGCCATTTTTGACGGAATTTTTTAATATCATTCGAAAGGTATTGTTGTCCTGAGCTTAAATTTGAAAAGATATTTCACCTGTGATCATTTTTCGTAAAGTTACGGGGGTTTAAAGATTGCCATTTTGGCCAATTTGGGACAATTAACGCGCGAAATATTTCGCGCCATTAACGCGTAAGCGGAGAGTTAATCCGTCTTAGAAATCGTTCCAAATTGGTTGAAAGACGCTTTTTGCCATAATTGATTTGTTACAAGGAGCGAAATTTATCCTTTTGTACTTTATATGGCGTATGGGGGGATGATTTTCATTAAAAAATTCAAATTTTAGAAAAAAAAATTTCATTTTGTTTTATTTCATTTAATTTCTTAAATGTTATTACTGCTCCATAAACATTAAAAGGCGGTCGGAACATTCAGGGCTTCGCCCTGATACGAGCATTCTTGTTCAAATATGGATTTCATACGTGGGGTTCATTGTAAAATTCTGGGTTCAACTTCCCGACTGTGCTATGAGAAGAACAAACTACTCTGGCATTTTTGGGCAAAAACAAAAGGTGAAAACACGAAAAACCATAGGTGGTGAAAATAAAGCAATTAAATTTATTTTGAAGCCTTTTCCTCAAAGTAGCTGATTCTTGTGTTCATTTTTAACACGTTCGCTTGTTTTTTTGCTTTCATTATCCTGCTTCATCTGGCTAGATAAAAACAAAAACCATAAAAACCAATAATCGGCAGATATCATTATGGTATTATGTACCAATCATTTTATAAAACATGTATTAGAAGATCGTTAAGCGGTTACACACTTATTTTTAATCCGAAAAATGCAAAAGCGTGGTTTTGTTCACGAGTCTTCAACGCGTCTCGCACATCACGTTTTTCTTGATAATAGCACGTGCGTTGCTTTTACAAGGTAAGAAAACAGCATTGCTTTTTACATACCACCAGTAATTGTTTCTCGTTATTTTGGATTTTGTGATTAATAATTCAAAGCTGAATCGCTCGGCTCTCACGTTTTATGTTGCTCGCGTGTCGCCAAAATCGAAAATATATATATATATATTTTGCTGTTTACAAGGCTATACACAAATGAAGTTCCATTATTATGATTCTCTTCAACTATTCAAAGTTCGAAAAAGTTAACTCCAACCAAATGCTTTAACTGTGGTATCAAATCACTTACTTGGAAAATTTTAGTTATACGTCTAACATTTATTTATAGTTTCCTAACTTTTTTCAAACATTTGTTAGGTATGAACCGATATCAGAGAATAAAGAAGTTGGGCGACGGAACTTACGGCGAAGTTTATTTGGCTCAGATTTCTGACACGAATGAAATAGTTGCGATTAAGAAGATGAAGCGAAAGTATTACTCGTGGGACGAATGCCTCAAATTGCGCGAAATAGAAGCCCTTCGAAAGTTGAGTCATCCAAACATCATAAAACTTAAAGAGGTGATTCGAGAGAACGACGAATTGTTTATGATTTTTGAATACATGAAGGAGAATTTGTATGATTACCTTAAAAGGAAAGTTAAATTAAATAACGCAACTGTTAAACATGTGACTTATCAAGTGCTGCTCGGCCTGAAAGCAATGCACCAAAAAGGGTTCTTTCATCGAGACATGAAACCCGAGAACCTCCTCTTAAACGACAACGGGCAGGATCCACCGACAGTAAAAATTGCCGACTTCGGGTTGGCTCGCAACATCCGAAGTAAGCCCCCATATACCGACTATGTTTCGACTCGTTGGTACCGTGCACCCGAAGTTCTCCTGCAGTCTCGTAACTATTCGGCGCCTATTGATGTTTGGGCTGTCGGTTGCATCGTCCCGGAACTTTTCACCGGCCGACCACTTTTTCCCGGCTCGTCTGAAATTGACCAGTTGCATAAATTATGTAACATTCTGGGCACATTTACACAGCAAGACTGGCCTGAAGGCGTCTCAATGAGCAAGCACAAATTCCCCCAGTACAAAGCGGTGACACTGGAGTCCATAATACCCACAGCTGAACCCTCGGCTATCCAGCTGATAGACCAGTGTTTAAAATGGAATCCAGCGAAACGAGCCAAGGCAAACGACCTTCTAAACTGCAGTTGGTTCTCAAACATGCGACTTGTTTCCTTTCCAAGCGCCAATAGTGCGACTAAAAAACAGGATCATGCAAACGGATATGGAAGTGCGAACCCAAACTACCCAATTCCCGCCAGAACTGCTGGCTCTGAAGGACGTCGCGCGATGCAAGGCGCCGCCGCTGCCGCAAATGCCAACCGAAACGCCCAGACTCACCCATCGGGTGACCTCGGGTCGAGTCATGGAGGTCGTGGTGAAGGCGACTCCAGACCCCAAGCTCCTCCCACTTTCGGAGAAAATAAACCAAAAATACAATCCGGCCGGTTGTCCAAAAACCCGAAGATTTCGGATGATTTTGACGAGGATGAGTTTTCAGCTATTTTCAACATCAAACCTGAAAAACGACAACGAACAGAATTGGCTTCCTTATTTGGAAGTCAAAAGGAAAACACGATGAGTGCAAATCACCGAAACCAACTGCCACCCATCAACACAAACTCACGAAGAGATTCGGCTACGAGATACTACGAGACCAACGCAAGATACAAACCGCAACAAAACCCGAATCAAGCTTCGAATCAATTCAGAGATCTAAATTCAGGAAACCATAGTGGAAACAACAACTTCATGTCATCTTTCAATCATGGAAACAGTAATGATGGAAACAGCTTTGGGGGACTAGGTTCAAATCCCAGTGCGGGCGGTGGCATTGGAGGCGGTGGGGGATACAAACCCGGGTTCGGGGGTCGCAGGAACTCTGGAAACAAACAAGGCTTCATGCAAGGAGCACCTTCGCACCAGAATAACAAACCTCTCATCGGAGCTATAGGTGGACCAAGTCTAATAGACAAATATCACCCCTACAAGTTTTGATCTGAATTCTAATTTTAATTATCCACAATCACGTGACGTGTTCTCTTTTCCTCTCGCTTTGAAGTTTGCTGAATAATAATGTATAATAGATTTTGTTAATTTTTCTTTTAACGACAATTGTACGGTTATTTTGATTTTAAAAAACGCAATCACTAGAAAAACTTCAATTTCTCATTGGTTTCTTATTTCCAAATGAGTATGAGTTTTTTTCAGCATAACAAACTCTTAAACTATTTTTAGACTTTATCAAGAGATCAAGAGGCCGAATTATCAAAATCCGGTTTGAGTCAAGCAGAAAATCGAAGCAAATCCAAACTAGGTGGTCATCAATCATGATCAAAAAAACTCACATTTGGTCAGACACCGTCGAAACATAAATTAACTGGCTCTTTTTCCTTTACCCCCCCCCCACCTGCAAAATTTTACTAGTGAAGTTTTGTTCACTTTATCCGAATGTTACAAAAATTGACATGCGAACTAATTAGGCAATGACAAACATTTTTGGTCTTCATAATTAACCTTGTAAAACCCCTCGTTACACCATAAAATTGACGCTTATGCGAGGTGGGCCGGAAAAGGAAAAAGAGCCAATTAACTTAGTCGAGCATAGTCGAAAACTTCCCAAATTCGGCCAAACCTAAGAACCATGCCTCGACTACGGTAAAAGACTTCGAGCTTCGGTTAATCAAATTTCATCAATTTTGATTTTAAATAGCTTTTCATCATTCAAAATTCTTGTACCAACAGCCCCAGAGCCAGGGGTGAATCCAGGGTTTGCTCGAGGTGGGGGCGGTTTTTCAAAAAATGTGGAAAATTTTGTCGACCTTTTTTGGAACATTATGGCAGTTTTTGGAAAAAATTTAGGCAATTTTTTGAAAAATTGCGTTTTTTCGGCACGCGTCTTCTTGGCTCCTTTTTTTCTAGCTCTTTTTTTTGAAGCAAGATCTGCAATAACTAAAAAATTGACGGTAGAAATTAACCTTGAAGCTCAGAAATTCTACAGCAATTGTCAAAGAAAGTTTTCAGAAGCGGACTCACGACAAAAAAAAGCTTCAGTTATGCCAAACTTGGCCAACCCCCAACGAGCTTTCCTCTGTGATAGCCAAAATTAGAAAAAAAAACACTATGCCATATTTCCTTCCCACTTTTCAAGATAAGACGGAATAATAATCAAAGCGTTTTATTTCAAAATGCGCTGGTCATGACAATGGAACCAGATCCTTATATTTTTGTCAGGAATTTTCTGACGACATAGAACGTTTAGCAATGTAAATTACAGCAAATACTTTTGCTATTTACTAATATCTGATAAATCAGAGTCCAACTGCAAAAAAGCATTATCGGAATCGACCGCAGTACATTATTGTCGGTTAAAATATTCGAAAATTGATTTTGTTAATATCCAACAGTTTAACCATTCCCAAGCTCATGATTAAGACCATTTATCCGCGAGGGAAAGGACCAACGTACGAGCTGTTCAGCTCATCACGGCGAACCGCGGTTGTGCCCCTGCTTAAGAACTACGTGCATTTTTTTTCGTTCAAGGCTTTTAAATCAAGGCTTGTAACTAAGATTAACGAGTAACCCAACGAGAGAAACAGCTCAATTCCAGGCCTGGATTGACAATTTTTTTAAAAAATTTTCTGGCTCAGATGAAACAATAGTTACTGTCATATCAGATTATCATAGTGCATTCTTGAAAAATTTTCTGGCTCAGATGAAACAATAGTTACTGTCATATCAGATTATCTTAGTGCATTCTTGAAAAATGAAGACTTCAGTCCAAAAAAAAACAGCCAGATCTCAATGAATTCAATTACAGAGACTTACAATTAACTGAAAACGATTTTTTCTTCAGGTCAAATCAAGGCCTAACTTCTAAATTGAACGAAAATAATATATCAGGATGAAAAAAATCAGCGTTGGCAAAATGAACGAGTACTTTGTAAAAATAGGGAAAGATTGAGTTAAAAACTTTAAGTAATCATAATTTTAAAAACCTTAAAAACAGTGACTGAGTCAATGTTTTCTAAGAAAACAATCGATCATAAAATTTTTCTTGTCAGAAAAATTTTCGGAAAACAAAACATCAGCGGACCGAGAAAGACAAAACAATTAACAGAAGTAACTGAAGTAACTGAAGGTAAAACTATAGTTCTCTAATTCAAACCGAAAATAAAGTGCAAAATAAATTGAGTATTAAAACATTAGAATTAACAAACGACAGGAAATATTTAAGGGTTACATTCGGCAACAGTCTTAGATACAAATAATATGTAAATCATTTGATAAACCTATTATCATCAAACAGGAGCAAAAATTAATACTTGATAATGCAAACAAAGCTGATTTGATAACATTGACACAGCGCAGCACAGTTTTCACAATATTTTTTGATCTAAAAACCGGACTCTATGCGTCTATGAATACTGAAAAAGAAAAAAATATTTCTAGAGAACTTCGCATACAAGAAGTAATGAAATTTTTTGCAAAGAGAAAAAGTGCTTGACTCTTGTTTGTTAATGACAAACAGCAAAAAGAAATTAGGGCGGAGCGGATGTTTTTCAAATTAAATTAATTTGCTACACGATCAATATAATCTACAAGATTTTTAATTTTATGATTGATAAAACTCAATAAGTCTTTTTTGGATTGCCCCAAAAAAGTTTGGAAAAAATGATTCATCCATTTTCAGATCCTTATTTAATAGATAAAAAAGATTTTTTGGGCTTATTCGGGTGAGTGATGTTCAATTTTTGTTTTCGTTTTCTCAAATTATTCAGTGGTTAGAAAAAAAAGTTTTTGTGTGTCAAAGTTGTGTGTGTGTGTGTTTTCTTACTTTCATGAATTTTTGGTTTAGATCCGCATGTTTTATTATATTTGCTATTGAGGCTGAACACCTTTAGCGTTCTCTGAAGTGTATTTGTTTGCCAAAAAAATATAAGGTGACTTACGCTAGTCGTATCGGGGTGAGCCCTTAATCAATCCGACTCTTTTTAACGTCTATAGAAAGGTTTTTTGTTTTGAAAATTGATGAATACATGAAAAGAAGCGAAGAAGTTTTTTATATCATTTTTATTTTGATAGGTTTCCCAAACACGTTTTTCTAATCACTAAAGGACACAATAATAAATTAAGCAGCCAGTAAATTGTTCATTAAACCAAATATTTATTAGTTTGATGTGCAATAAGGCTGTATGTATAACGCGATATCTTTGACTCTTCCGACTGCATTTCGCATTCGATGAGAGTTTTTAGATAGTTAAAGTGATTAATTTTTGCAAGTTTTTATTGTTTCTCTTCTTCTATCCAACAAGAATGTTTAAAGTATAAAAACTTGTAACATATTGATAAAAAAACTGTTTGTAATATTTCAAACCAGACTGTTTTAAATTGCCGCTAACGCTTTAGCACAAAAAAGTTCTAAATCTTGATCAAAAATTGTATAATTTTGTAATACTGAAATCACCATATCCTAACAAAAAAGATCGAAAGAAAAGTCATTGCTTTATATATGCGCAAGATATCAAACTTTTTAATACAGTGAAAAAATTTCGTTCAGAAGTGGCCGTTCTGTTTGAAACATTCCTGGTCTGAAAAAAAAACCACACCGAGCCAAATTATTCTGACATTTTTTTGTCAAAATTCGGCAAAGTATTACAACATTTAAACCTAACTTTGGAACGCAGACAACACCTGTCGTAATAGTTTGTAGAAATAAAAGTTCTGACTGTTTTTGTTTTCATTTTACCATGTCGAGTTATGCAATTTAACCTATTTTCTAAATTTAAAAAATGTGGTCTAATTTGGAAATAGTCAAAGCTCATAAATTTCAGAAAATAACGATTCTAAAAAACTACAATGATTTTAATTTTTTTGTGCTAAGGAGTTGTTTTGAGGTTTCCGTGCTAATAAATTGATCTGTGGTTGGGCTATTTTTCTCCAGACAAAAATTGACTTCTTATAAACAACTTTTAGCGACTTTTAAACAGACTCAAAACTACTGACGATGCAAAAGCTATAAGATATTTTACTCTTTTTTTGAAGCGTAACAGGGAATCGATTTTGTTGACAATTATACAAAATGGGCAGTCGGATCAATTAGGGCTGAAATCAGCAGCCTTTTGTGGTTAGCGCTCAATCAAACCAATTTTTTTCGATCCAATGCTTTTGTCATAAACAGTTCCTCAGACCAAAAAAAACGACAATAAATGAGATAACACAGCGCAACCTTATAATAATTGACGAAGAGAGTATTATCAAATTTAAGTAAAGTCTAATATTTTTTTCCAGCCATTTTTGGAATAAAAATTGACCTCAGTATGAAATCGGTGTAAAAATTCTTTCATTTTTGATTAAACTCATATGTTCATCCATAAAAAATCTTTTTTTTTGTGATTGAACAAAAAATGATTTTTTTTGTCGAGGAAAAACAGGCTCAGCAATCGCAGATCACATTCAAATTTTACTGTTCAGACTCAAATCGCCAACTTTGTTTTGAGTTTTAATGTCTGAGCTTTCAGACAGTTTTTTTATTGAAAATTGTGGGTGCTATGATGCGTTTTGAATTTGAATTTGTAATAAATTCAATTGAACCCAGCTATGTTTTAAATGGCTCTTTTTCAAAATCTCGCTTTTATTTCCAATCGTTTTTTTTGCAGTTCTCACGAGTTATTATGACTAAATGCGTGATGCTACGATGAAAGTCTGAAAAAATCTTGATCAAATTTTTTATTGTTCCGACTTTCGAAGAAAACTGAATATTTAGGCTCGGTTTTTTTTGTTCAGTCAATTTTTACCGATCGAAATGATAGTTTTCAACAAAAAAACTTTTATACCTTGCTGAAGATATTGAGTTTCTGAGTTCAAATTTAAAAAGCCATTTTACAACCAATTATTTTTTTGTTAAAATCTGAGGTTTGAAAATTGCCAAGTTGACTATGTTCTGGACTAAATTATGCGCGCTTTGAAGAGTTTCTTCATAACGCTGAGAGGGTAACGCAAACTATTGATGCTTGGCGAATTAACCCTCACAACAAAGTCGTTCCAAATTGAATTGAGGCTAGCTAATTGGTCGTATTAATTTCGAACGACTCAAAAATTTTACACTATGATATTCTCCAAAATTTGTAGGTTTTCAATATTTTTTTTTCCCAAAAACTATTCAATATAAATTGAGGGACAGTCGGATCATTCAAGGCTTTGCCCAGATCTACGAGCAGCCTTTTTGCGAGGTTGGGTTTTCACCGTGGATCTTATGTTATGTTCTTATTTGCTTGGATCAGAGTTCTTCTTAAGAATCTCAATTCTCTGTGGATGAAAAACGTAGAACAAGAATTTTTTGCAATGTTATTTTTTCAAATACAATGACAACAATACTTTCTATAAGTATGCGTGTCAGAACTTTGCGTCGGTATTTACACTTAAAAGGTCGTTTTCGTCTACCAGAGGAGGATAAGGCGAGATGTACTCGTTGCCACTTTCACGTTCACGACTGCTTCTCGGGTTGCTTTCCTCACTTGGGTTGTTAACAGAGATGTCGGGAGTTCGGGAGTCGTCGGTTTTGTAGATGTTGTCAGTCGTGTCGCCGACATCGTTCTCGTCTCGGCTGTCATATTCCTCGTTTATGCGAGCATGTCGCACTGATTTCACATACGCGAAGTTAGCTCCGAAGGCTGTCAGCCCTGACATTGCTTCACTTTATAATGCATTACCGGTGCATAGTTTGACATTTTGAAGTCTTGTAGTTTTAGTATGTAGCCCAAGTTCAATTAACAAAAAAAAACGGACAGACTACAAATACATCCTGAAAATACCCATTTTTTGTTAGGTATTGCTTGAAAACAAGTATCAAAAAGTAAGTTTTCAAGACCAAAAATTGTTTCCCTGCTTCCTTGAAATCAGTGTAATAAAGGTTTGATTTCTAGTCTCGTTTTCTTAGCTTGTTAATCATTTGGGGCGGCTTGGGTGCCGAGCTAAAACAGGGAACAAAAATTATTCATTTGCATTCATTTTTATCAAGTTTGTTTGGTTATGCTTTATATAACGATCAATTCTCCCCAGATTTTATAATTCGAGAAAAAAAATGTTTTAGTGATATGAGTAATCGTAGTCTCCGAAAAAATAGTTAGGAAATTTCTAAATGTAACCGTCGTAATTTTTATTTTTGATATGCAACTTCTAATATTTTTAATATGCAATAGAAAATTCGGATAATTGGACATGTCTGACATTCTTTTATCTACAAATACAAATTTTTGGATACAAAATGACAAGTGAAGAGATGTTGAAGCCCATTGCGATTCCGCCTACAGAACCGACCATGGCACACACTATGGCCAAAGTGTAGTCAGTCAAGTCATTCATACACCCGCAGAACAGGTCAATGACCCCTTCGTCACACAATAGGTCATTCGCACCAAGAAAGGTCAAGTCCAGACAGTTATTGTGAATCAGCCAATCAGAGGGGAGAACCTCTTAAAACCCATTTTGCTTATATATTTATGTCATCTACTATTAAAACATGAGTTTGATGATAGGAAAACAAAACTCCGCCCCTCAGTTTCCATCTAAAATTAGCGGGTTTTTAGGGCCCCCCTTAACTGTTGTTTTACGACATATTTTTTGGTTGAACCACCCTAAAATTTTTGGCGCTAATATGCACTAAATTTGAGAGGGTAGTATGCGCCAAAAAGAATGCAATCGTTTTCTCGGTTCAGATAAATTTCCCTAAAACCCTCATATTCTTACAGATGGTCGACGGAATTATCGAAACATTCTTTGAGAATCCACCTTTGGTGAAAAAAATCTACCGTGGGTGATCCCGATTATCAAGTAGTGTTTATGGCTATAAGGTTAGCTTTTTTAACAATTGTATAAATATTCGGCAAATGTTAATAAAGAGAGCTGTCGTAGGAAAACATTTAGTAAGTATCTTTGGTAAGTATGGTTGGTATCTATGAAAAAGAATCGATGGGTGAAAAGAGAAAGATGCCTTTGACGTAGTCGGGTAGAAGGGAGTAGAATGTGTTGTAGGTGCTGTTTGGGTGGATACAAGTCAGAGATGCCAGTTTGCCGATGGTGAGGGGGGCAGTAAGAGCGACTGCCAGGACGATGGAAGCCACCAGAAAGATCGACAGCACTGATTCAGGCTCTTCCCCATCGTCCCCTTTCTACTGACCTTATTTCAAAAAAATTGTCCAGCTATACAATTCTAACGCAAAATTGTAAGATTTAACATTAATATATGGTCATCAACTAAATTCAAAAATATTTTGCTGACAGTTTGATTTTAATGTTGTTCTACTAAAAAATGGGTTCTTCAATTGCTCAGAAAATATAAGGATGGATCTCCGAGCCTCAAAACTAAAAAACAGAAGCAAAGGCGGTGTGTAACCCCCCATTAATCCGAAAAATTGCGCAGTGCGCTAACTAAGAGGTGCAGTGTAAAATGGTAAAGAGCCTTGTCTCCCTATTATGCAAATGACGGTCATGGCCAGTATGTTTTGTTTCAAGCACTTGATCTGCATAAGTATGTCCCTGTTCTTCCCAGAGGCCATGACGGCCACGAACACAAACAGGAACATGAAGACATAGAGAGAGTAGATGACTGCTTGTGTGCTGTGTAGAATAAAATCTCGCGTGGATTCATAGATACCCTCAAAGTTGTTGATCTGAAACAAAATGATGCAAGGCTTTAATCGAAGTTCTCGGCAAAATGCGTACTTTTATTCTTGCTCTGAAATCTCTAGTACGGGCTACGGTTGCAATGTAAGTAGCACAAAACTTTGCAGCCAGAAAAAAAAATTTAAAAAAATTATTAAAAAAGAAAGGAACAAAATGAAGCTGATAAAAATTTCCTCTTTGCAATAGTTACTCTCCCCGATTTTGAGGTTTTTTGTAATTAAATGATTCAATTGATTGCGTAATTTTTTTTCGCAAAACACCATTTTTTCTAGTTTAATCATTTGTTGGTTGGGATTAACAGAGAAGAAGTTGGAAAACTAATAATAAAATTGGCAAAAAGTTGCTTCCAGGAATTACTGAATAGAGGTCAAACTAACGGATAACTAACTATATGCAGCAGGATTTGATTGATGCCTGGCTGTTCATGAAATATACGAAAACAAAAAAATCATACCATTTTTTTGACCATTGGCAAGTGAACCTGCTCAAACAAGACGTACGCCAGAAAATTGTATTCAGCAACTAACAACTGAGGAGAGTCGCTTACTGCAAAGTAGGAGTATCGGAGACACTGCTTTTAAATTTTAAACTCAAGGGTTCTGCCGTAAAATAAATTATCAGAAGCGATCAAAAAAATTCTTAAATATCATTTCTGAGACTAAAATATTTGAGGCAATTTAATGATTATGAGCAGAATCAATTCACAACCGGTTTTTTGCTACCAAAAATTTTCATTTCAGTGATTATCACATTTTTTTTAGGTCACGGAAAACTGCAGAAAATCACCTTAGTTGATAGCCGGGGGTGTCAAAACATAGGTTGAGCACAGTCGAAGCATAGCTCGAGCACTATTAAAAAATAGAACCAAGACAGTCGAAGAAAGGGCGAGAAAACTCGGAAAATGGATGTTTTTAAAAAAAATTCTAATTTTTATTCGAGTCGAAGGGTGACTGGAAACTAGCTGAGAACGAACTGCTAAAGGTTTTAAACAGCGAATGAGAATAAAAACAAAATTATTCTTAAATAAAAAACAAAGAAACAAAAATGCCCGACCTGTTTTTATCATCAAACAGAACGTTTTTAGAATATCACGATTAAAAAAATTCTGATATTATATGTTAATCAATCCCATCTGAAGTTTGTTTGTGTTCATTGATTTTACGTTAAAAATCACATGGGGAAAAATTATTGTACAGATTCAGGAGGGATGGGCAGGGAACGGACGTTCCCTCAGGGGTTCGACCCCCTCACCAACCAAAGGGCTTTTGCTATTATTTAATGACATCCATTTTCGGCCGACCAATCGCAAAATTTTTCTAAGGGAGCCTTCGGCGCCCATCTATGCTAATTTTAAGTGGGTGCGCGCACCGGAAAAACGCAAACTTTGGTCAAAGTTTTCCAGCCCGAAATCAGCGTATTTGACCTGTTCTTTTTTCAAAAGTTTGCCAGTGGCTGAATTTTTTTCTCTCTAAAAATAAGGGGATCTACTTAACAATCTCCCCCCCCCCCCCTATGGTACCTACTTAAGAATCTCCACCCCTATAAATAAATACAGTAAATTAGCACTGAGCTTTCTATTGAAAATTATAATTTTGCTGCATTCTGATTGGTTGAAAAATCGACCATTTTGAGCTACTTAACAATCTCCCCCCCCCCTTTCTTGAAAGGGATGGAGATTGTTAAGTAGATCCAAATAAGGTTTATTAGTGTTCTTGGAGCGCTCGGAAAATCTAATTGGTCAACCCAAAAAAAAGTCGACAAAACTTTCGATTTTTTTGAAAATCCGCCGAGCAAAATCGAGCTCATTTTTCTGTGGAATTGTCGAAAGTAAAGTAAAGTATCTCGACCTGGGATAGCTACAGAATGCATCAAAAAATAAAATGATATGACGTGGTTGCATAACTCGTGTTTTAATCAAAAGTTTTCTTTCCATTTTATACCAGATCAAATAAATGTTTGTGCGTGCAACAATGCAATTTGAGCAACTATTGATGTTTTCATTCAGCTGTCAAATCAACTCTGCCAATTCGTATTGGGATAAAAGGTATAAAAAAATTTTATCGACAAGTTCGATGCCACGTTTTTAAAAGAGAATTCGGCCCAAAACTACCCATTTTATTGATCTGAATACCCTACCTAAGAAACAAACGCGGCACACATACTTTCGGCAAAACTGACTTTTCTTTAATTTTCAGAAATAAAAATCATTTTAAAAAATAAAAACAAAAAAATAAAATGCTACATAACGGTATTAAAAAAATTTTCAAGCATCATTCCGACTCAATTTTTTTCATATGTTTAACATTGGATTATTAAAATTGATATTTATAAGCTTTGAAGTAAGGTTGCTATTTGGATTTCAGAAACAAAAGCCAATACACTCCATCTGGCCCGACTGAAAGTGGGGGTGACCGGATTATCAACGGGTACGATGTCAGCATCAGGGATCACCCCTGGGCGGTGTATTTACTCGTGGAGGACGAGGGGGGATTGAAGTTCAAATGTGCCGGATCCATTGTGTCTAAAAACCTGGGTGAGACAGAGCCAGCAAAAATTGACATATCTGTTATTATAGAAACCTTGCACAGAAGTCTAGATGAAAATCAAAGTTGAACTGGCGATGACTAACAAACGCGTTGAAAAATACGATTTACTCGTTAAAAACGGCACAAATGTTTCAACAACATTTTGTCGATTTTGAAGTTTGTTAAACTAAATAATAAGATTTTTATCTATAAAAAGTCAGGTAAGCTATGCGGCAATTAAACTTATTAAGCGTTGAAATAGTTATCCTAACCATTACATGCCTTCGTACTAGGTCGGAACAAAAAATGATGAACATGCTCGCTGATCTGGCGAAGATCTCTAATGATCCTGTTTCAGTGGTGACGGCGAAGCACTGCGTGATCGGAATGGTGGGGGGAGAGGGCTTCTACGGGGCAGCCAACCTAGATGAGGGGGAAAAGTTTTCGTTTAAGACAGACAGCGTCACCCATCACCCCATGCAATACGTAGATGTCGCACTTATTCAGGTCTAAGTGACATCCTTCCAAGTTTCTTTTTATTTTTGCCCTAGTTTATTTTGAAACGGCTAATATTTAAACACCGTTTTTAGTTTCAAAGTGAGTATTTCGTTACACATTCATGTTTATATCTTTCATTGTTTGTCATACGTCTTTCTTGGGGAAGTGGCTTTTCAAAAATTCACTGAATTTACAAAAATTAGAGGCTCTTCATGAAGGCTCTTTATGTCTTTATGATGGGCTTCAAAAAAATGTTGTCCCATAAATACTCGCGCTCAAACTAAAAACGGTGTAAAAAGCAGCCGTCTTAAAATATAGTAGCTTAAGTGTAGGTGAAGCGTGTGAATGAAAACCATTTCGATCCCGAACAAACCCTGTCAAACCCTCTCCCTTAATTAAGATTCGTTAATATATCAAGAGTTTTGAAATTTCTAAGAAGAGAAATAAAATTCAAAGAATAACAGCCTACTTATTAATTCGGCCACGCGTGTTTGTAAATAATTCTCAGTCGGTATAGGTGAGCGGTGGATTCAAAATGGGAGAGAACGTGGCGGCAATAGCAAGGGCCGAGAATGGCACAGAGCCTTCTGGCAGGATGATCGTATTTGGATGGGGAAGAATCAGCAATCACGTGAAGGTGTATCCGCAAGTTCTACAGGTGAGTAGAATTTGAGACCCGGGTTGACGACCATAGAAGAAAAATGCTTATCATACAATTTCATAGTATGGAAAAAATGCTTATCATACAATTTCATAGTATGGAAAACATGCTTATCATACAATTTCATAGTATGGAAAAAATGCTTATCATGCTATTCTCATATAATTTTGGGGATCAGGAGACTGATAAAGAAAGCTTAACATTTAATTCTAGAGTATGGAAAAAATGCTTATTTTGCTATTTTCATACATACACTTTTACTCTATGAAACTGTATAATATATAAAATTGTATGATTAGCATTTTTTGTCAACCCGGGGAAATTCTTTCGAGTTTCAGTTATAGCTAATTTTTAATTACATTCTCTGAAGACTTAATCTTTCTGTTTGGAAAACAGAGGGTATTTTTACTCTTCGCAATATTGAAAGTCAGTTCAATCTTTTCAAAAAGGAAGTTATTTTGATTTTTTTCAGGGCTTAAGTTAAATTATAGCTAATTAGAAAAAAAACAGTTGATGGTGGACACAAGCAATTTTTAGCAAGTGCTACACAAAAAAAGAACAGAAACTAAATTGATAAAAAATTTTGAACACAATTTTAGCAACAGTTTTGTCCACAATGAGTCAACAGTTCATAAAAATTTACAATTTGTTTCCCTCAATCATAAGCGTTAGTTAATTAAGCATAAACTTCTTTGACCAAAATTCCACTGGGTAAGTTTTTGTTCATAATTAAAAAAATATCCTCAAGAGAACTGCCGAATTTAGATTTTCCAATATTACCATAATTTTTTATTCTTCTTTAGGCTGTTTTCACCATTTAAGGCAGACGGCTCAGTCAATTAAAAAATACCAAAGAGGCCAGATTTTTTGAAATTTCTATCATAAGAAAACCAAATAAAATAGAAGAACAAAGTTTTGTATTATCAATTGAACAGTCGGGATCACACTAAAGGTTTCATTAGTAATTGACAAGAACGAAGTATAAAAAAGACAAGCAAACTGAAAAAAAAAGATTTGTTTAAAAAATTTTATAGGAAAAAACTTTATAAGTGTTTGAAAATTATTGTCAATTACCTGACTAAAATGAAAAGAGACAAAATAATCAGAAATAAACTTGTCAGCGCGAGGTTTTTAATTTTCAAAATTTCTTTTTTAGTTATCCTTAGTTTCGTTTTTTTTTATACAAACAACAAGAAATCTGAAAAAAATGTGTTTTAATCGAGTACTAAGCAACATAGCCTATGATGTTTAGATATTTGGTGATCCCAGTGTTGACTACTCTAAAAAAGTTTACCAAAAAACAGTGGGTCGTTGATAGATCCTTTTGTTTCAATTAGTAACTTTAATTAAATGTCTGGGTTCTGATTATATCACAGATCACAGTCGATCTGACCCAAGTTAATATGATTTTCACATTAGCAGATAAATTTAAAAAGATGATTAATTAGAAGTGCTTAAATATTATACAGAAATACCTATCGTTTGTTAATTTTCTAATTTTCTAACTTAATTTTCTAACTTTTTTCTAATTTATTAACTTAATACTGTTCTGTAGTACAACATTTTGCTGGGAATCAGTGGAGAAAAAATGGAAAGAAGTAAGTGTCCTGTTGCTCGCTAGAAACGGGTACAATGTCCGTTGTCCGTTGTCAGTTGAAAGAAAAAGAAGTGTGTCCGACTCAAGTGTGGTTGTTTCGGTGTTCGTTAGAATTAACTTTTTCAACTTGCGGAGTTATTTTACTCAACGTTTTATGTACTGAGCAACTCTAGATGAAACTTACTATAAAAAAAACGGAGTTTTCGTTTTTCTAGAGGAAAAATGAACGAAACTAAAAAAAGAACTAAACCGTCTGTTTGGTCGAAAAAATTTGAGACACTAAATAATGCAGGTCGTAGTTCCGAAATTATTTATTATTTTAGTTTGTTTTGCCTGCACCTGCTATTAGACTTCATTTTTAAAAATTTCTTATTTTCCTTTTGATCAGGAGGCGGACATTTGCATTTATGTGGAAAAATGAAAACTTAGTTTAACTGGGGAACTCAAAATATTTTCACCTGCCGTAGTTACTTTAGTATTCAGAGCGGTGGGGGATTCATTTGTTTTCAAAACCAAGACAATAAGCACACTCCGATTGACTGGCGTCGTAGAGAAATGTTTCCTCGATCATCCGTTGAAATTTTTTGAAAAATTTTGCCTGCTTCCTAGGTTACAAAATTGAAAGAACAAAAAAATCCAATTAGAATTGAAAAAGTTAGAATTGTGGATTTGACTTCTAACGTTTTAACTTAAGTCGCTTAGCTGAAATCTGTTCCAAAATTCATCTTGAAAAGGCATTTTATCTTAAAGTGTGAACAAGTTTAGAGTAGAAAAGTGTCTGCTACACTTCTATTCCAATACTACAAAATGCTCAAGCTACCCAATCGTTACGAAATGATCAACAAGGAAATCAGCTAATCTGTGCTTTTGTAACAAAACGATCATTATAAAGAGTTAGACAAATATGAAACGAATGGATTCAAACGTTACTTCTAGTAACCTATCCAATTTCAGTAAAAAAAATTTTGTACAAACATAAACAAAAAAAGCAATTAATTAGAAAGTTTAGAAAAACAAATTAATTTCCTCAAAACCATTTTATTAATGAAACGATACAAATATTTGTTTGTATACTACAAAAATTGAGAACTTTGTTTCAAGTTTCGGTATGATTTTTCAATAAATAATTTAACCTGTTTATTCTGAAAATGAGACAAGAATAAGCTCTTTAACAGCTAGCAACTGAATAGTCAATAAGAGGAGTGAAACCAAATCTGCAAAACGCAAAAGTTGTTCAATTCAGCGCGTACGACCAATTCAATCCGAGTAAAACAGAAAACAAAAAAAAAGAAAAAAAGAACTTTTTTAGAGAGGATAAACCACATTTTACTAAATTTAATTTTGAGAACCAAAAAACAAATGGCCAAAAAGTTGATCTTAGTTTTTTGGAAACTGACAGATATGAACAAAAACGTGACTGTGGTTTACAAAAAAAATGAGTTCACAAATTTTTTGTACCAATACGAGCTCGAGTTAGCCAAGAATTTCTAAGCTCAAAACTCAGAAAACTCAGATTCAAAAATTGTTAGTTTCAATAGTGATGAAGAAGTGGCAACAGTTTTTACTCAGGGTATGACAAACATAATCAATATATGCAAAAAAAAATGTTTTGACCAGAAATGTTTCCCTGTTTTCTGAAAAACTGCAAACAAATAAACTTTGTTGAATTATCTTCTTCTTCAGAATCCTCATTTTGTTGACCAACTTAACAAAAGCCAATCTTCAGCAAAGACAATGAAATAACTCTACATCTCGTTTCTGAAAAAAAATCAAATACTGAATAAGGTTCATTGAGGTTTTAGAAAAAAGCGCAGCTTTGTAGATACCATAATGGTGCTGAAATAACATGTCATTTTCCATTCTTTCACTTTGTGCTAAAAAAAACTGATAAGTAGCGCAAATGAGTTACTCTAATTTAGCCTAAGTACCATCTCATTTCTTTGCGAAAAATTATAGGGAGGTAAAAAACCTTCCTGTTGAGTATGAGGCATCATTATCGTTTTGTGAAAACTTGTTTTAAATTGCAATGCCTTTGCAAAAATTAAATCTTCGCTTTTTTTATTTTGCAACTTTTGTGTAAAATTGAAAAAAAATACGCGGCATCCTTAATGATAAAAGAAGTCGTTTCTTCTTACCTTTTTATTTTTGGATGAGAAGATTGAACAGCCTTCTTTATTTTTGCGCATTTTTTCTTGTCAATTAAATAATCTTTACCTATTTTAATTAAGCAGCGATCAAACTGTAATTTTACTACATTTTTAAAAGATTCTATGAACCCATTGAGGATACTTTATTAGGTCGTGTTGTTTTTTTTCCATCTGAGTTTGATTTTTTCATTCTAGTGTGATTTTTTTCCGGTATGACTTTTGATTTTTTTTTCAAATCAAACTGGATGCTGGTGGGAAATAAAAAAAGCAATCATATGACTTGAAGTTAGGATGACAAAGAGACTTAAAACACCCGGGTTGACCTCCATACACCGAAAATGCTTATCATACAATTCCATACATCAAGTGTGTGGGAAAATGCTTGTCATACAATTTTCATACAATTTCTAAAAATGGTTGAAAACAGGTATAAACTTATTTCTGTGGCTGTTTGATTCGAATAAAAACAGTCTGGTGATAAAAAACTGAGGTTTTCGTTTTTTGAAAAAAATGCTTATCATACAATTTCCATATATGACTGGCATTTTTTTGATGGCGACACAAAAAAATTTTCAAGTAATTTTGAAAATTTGGCCCAAAAAAATTTTTG